ATTAGACGGTGTTGCTTCTGCTGACTCGTAGTTTGGTGAAGTCGATAAACTGTTCTGGTAATGGATAGTATGATAGGTTTCATGTCAGTGCGCCGTTATGAGGGTTGCCGTGAGGACTTTCGTTTCATATGAGTTTCCGTAACAATGTTATTTCGAGAAGCTGTTCGAAACGTGCTTTGTATTTGTATATGCAGCAATGTAAGTGTTCAAAGCTAGTTTTGACGATTGAGCTAATGACATTCAATCGCATGAGTCAATTGGTGCGAGTGGATCTTAAGCATTAACACGGACGATAATTCATACACCAATTACATAACAGTAGTCGTTCCCGATATTGTTGGCCAAATAGTAGTTCGTCACGGTCAATAAATTCGTGCGTGTGCAAATCTTTAAAGGATTTAGATAAAATAGGCACGGTCACAGGAAGAAGGATCTACCCCACATCACTACACTAAATAGGAAAAGAAAAATGAGCGTGTCAAATGAATCAGGACTGGGTATAGTAGGAACCTAACAGGAGCAGCACAATCAAGCGTGACATGAAGAAGAGGCCCCATTTTTAAATAAATTATAATTCAGGTAAGTATAAACATTAAATTACAATAGGAAATGGCCCGATCAAGGCCTACAACCAGAAGGATTCACAAATGATAATATATGCACATTCCCAAAGAAGAATGTTTAATCACTGATAAAGTCAATTTTACTGGACTGAAAAATCTAGCGTGTTGGTATAGGTTGCAATTTTTGGAGTTTCATGGTAATAAGGCTCGTATACAAAATAAAAAATAAAGGGTCATGAAATGCAAATACGAAAAATCTAGCAATAGGGTGACGTTTGTCGCTATCCTGTGCTAAAGAAAATAAACGAAGCAATCATCTGAACCGTGGTCCTGAGTTAGGGAACTAAGATGGCCAGTCAAGATTAAAATGTCTCGTGTAGTCGTATTCTATTGTTGGTATAACTGCCTGAACGAATTTGAGAAAAATTACTAAATATTGATGCACAGCAAGTTCTGCTCCGCCTTCCGCAACTGTTTCGATCAGCTTACGCATCACGTCAGCCTGGCGACAGGGGTGAATTGATGGCATTACCATTCCAGGAAGATGGGGATGCTGTTCAGTTGTAACCGTCTTTTTAGCATGATCTTGACTAATTCCGTAGCAACAGGTGGTTATTTAAAATAGAAAAATCAGTAAAGCGTCTGGCTATGCAATTTAAGACAATATATAGTTAAAGCAGGATAAATCTCAGTAACAGAGCAAATATAGTCCATAGGTAATAATCCTACCTAAAATCCTCGTACATCTGTGATTCTGTTAAGGGTAGTCGTTCCTCGTCGTATCCGTAAAGCCAGAGTCGGGGAGTGCGATAATACTTATCATAAGTGATGAATAAATCATATGTTCGCGTTTGCAGAATGCTAGTTGCGCCCTTTTCAGTTTCCTTCACCAGACACTCTTTAATTTCGGTGCATACCTCAGGATTAACTGTGCCATTTAAGGGAGGTTTGGCCCTTGGTGGTGCAGCAACAAGATCCACCTGTTAAAGAAAGGCAAAATTAAAGGAGGAAATATATTAACAAGATTAACCTCATCAAGCATTCCACTCAAGAGAAAGGCCTCCATATCTTCGCTTGGCTCATCGTCCTCCTCAGCGTGAATCCCGGCTGATATAGGTCGTGAGAATTCGTCAATCCCAAAGTCCTTGAGCTCCC